AAAGGTTTTAATTGATAGGTTAGTTTTTTAAAAATCGGTTGCTTTTTGGTGTAAGGAAAAATGGGAAGCTTATGTAATTTTTTGCCTTTTTAAATATAACGAAATATATTTCTATTTTTGCTGGCATATTAAATTTATTCTCTGTGTACGGCGGCTCAAGTGTTTTATTTAGTTATTGAACAGTGCTATCCAAAAGGCCTGGGACTTTGGTAGCCGCCCTTTTCGAACCGCTGCAGCCGAGCGAAAATTTTAGCGGCATTTTTGGCGCTTTTTTCTGTATTATTTTTCCTGCCCCGAGAGCTGCACTGATGTTTCGGTGGTTGTTGCTGTTTTTTAATTAACGCGCGATACGTTTTCAACTTTGAAGGGCCAAGGAGCGCACATGATGGGCATATAACTCATTGGAATTATGGAGGAATGAAGCAGGAGGAGTAGGAGCAGGAACAGCAGCAAAAGAGGCCGGCTAAAGTTGCCTCGGCCAGCAGAACAGAACGTACATAAACTTTATCCGTCTATAATCTAAATATGTTTCTCGGTTGCCTCTTTGCGCCGTTGTCGTGGCTGTTGCAACAATTTGCAGCAAATTGAAAGCCAATTACGTTGTTTGCAGCATGCCAAGGCAGCGACGGTCGCTTCGCCTCGCATCGGATTGGATTGGGTCGAAACATGGCCATATAGCCATATATCCGGGGCCACTTGGCCGGTCGGCAGACAGGCGAAATTGCGAGGCACACACAGCCTCTCGTCGTAGACGACATAAATATCAAATACAGGTCCATAAATTTGAAACCAATTAGCCAACTTAAATTGATAATAGCCAAGGGGTTTCAGGAGCTGGGTACCTAGCATTTGCCTACTGGAAGGCCGAAAGGAAGCTGCTGCGAGGATCTCTTTGGCGATCGCTAATGGCAGTGCCATTTGATGACATACGTCGCTCGTGTTGAGTCGCCAATTTTCGACCGCAAGCAGCAATTGCTGGCCTTATAAGTAAGGCCTTAGCAGCAGCTGAGGCAGCAGCAACTGCCAATGCAGCAAATGCAGCGGGGTCTCATATGTCGCATGTCGTGCCTGTCGTGTCGTTCTAATCACAATTGCTGCCTCGGCCGCTGCGGCTGCGCCTTTTTATGGCGCTTTTATGCAAAACAACTTAATTTCGAGGCCCCCGATCCGTTTGCAACAATGCAGCGCGTAAAATATGCACTCGCAAAGGCAGCAGCAGAAAGAGCAGGAGAAACACAGCAAAACGAAAGACTTAGACAACGAACTCGTACAAATGTTTCGTCCATTTGCCTGTGTGTCGAGCTGTTATAGAAAATTATCTGAAACTGATTTGATATATATTCAAATAGGCGCTGTGCGACACATGTTGCTGCTGTTACATGCAACATTTGCCGTATTTGTTGCACGCAGCAGCAGCAGCAGCAACACTGAGCTCCTGGCGACTCCAACTGGTAGCCAGGTTAGACTTGTCGTTGTTATTTGTATGAATGCGGCGGATAACATCGCCAGCAGTAAACGTTTAGTTTGTGTTTTAATTAAAATATTTTCATTTCCCCCAGCAGCGGCGACAGGCGAAGATTGCCGCTGCTGAGAAACACGCTGCGACTGGATCAAGATTCCACATCCAGGCACATCCGCGTCTTGCCGGACAAGTGGCATTTATAAGCAACATTATAAACTAATTTAGGTGGGGGATTGATTGGCTAATAGACCTGGTAAACGTCCAAGAGAAAGTCCAAGGGAAGGGATCTATTTATGTACAAATAAATATTTCTAGTATTGTGGGAAAAGATATTAATCTTTAAATCACTAAAATATCAATGAAAAGGTATTCAAGCTGTCAAGCAAGTTTAATTCACAATTTAAAATAATTTTGTAGGAACTTTACTTAATCATAAAACAAAACGTCTTTTACCCACCAGTTTATAATCTTTCCTCAACCAAAAAAAAAACCGAAATAGAAAATGAATAATTTGATTTTTAATGTCAAAACATTAGGAGTTAATCCCACTGGCAATTTAACCCCTCTTAGGGGGTCATTAATTGATTTACCAAAACCCCCGAAAAACCACCTTAAAAAAGAAAGAGGAACCAAAATAAAGCGAGTGAAAAATCACCCATCTGCGGCAGAACCACGCTTTATAAATGTCAGAGGCGACATTAATGTAGCGCATTTGTCTAATTAGACAAGCGTTTTGAGCATGATGCTCCGCTCTCGCTCCACGCCAAATAAATTAATCAGCTAATTGATGGGCATAAATTACGGGCATGCAAATGAGATGGCAGCTCTCGGTGGCTTATTGATGGCCAGGCCAAATTAAATTGGGCAAATGAGCGGACCAGGCCAATTTAGTATGTCAATGGCCGACGCTAAAGGGCCACCCACTGGGATAAAAAATAAAAAAAAGCAAGTAAATCGAAGCTTAAAGCCATGTGCAACGTACAACTCAATTAATAACAATTTCTCAGAACAATAAGCCACGTCGGCGTCGTCGGCAACCGAAGTGAGTGCAATCCTTTTTGGCCAACATTTGATTATCTCACGGCCAGAGTGGCTCCTCCTGGAGTTTTTAGTGTTTGGAGGTTGCAGTTTGGAGCTTGTGGCTCTTGCTATCGGGTGCCTGCCATCGGAGCGGCGCGGTGTTGCGGAATTAGCCATCGCCATCGCCTTCCCCATAGCCATATAGCCACTCTGGGCCTGAACTTTGCCGGTGCACGAGGTCGTGGCCAAATTGCCAGGCCATGCTCGGCAACGGAATGTTTGTTGGCTTTTTGCTTTTTGTTTTAATTGAAACCCGTACGAAATGGAAAATGGTAAATGGACTTTCAACTTGCCAGCTTAGTAAATTACCCACACAAGGAGAAATTTTATGTACTCCCTTGATTCTAATAATTAAACTTTTTAACTTGGTTTTGGCAAGCTCAGATTTGGTGTTAAATATATAATATTTTCGAATTTAATTTTACAATTTATTGTGAGAATCAAAACAACTTATTTTTAAAATAATATAAATGCTCAAAATATAACTTTTAATAATAAATATTTTGTATTTTCGAAGATTTTAAGGATCAACTTAATAAATATTAATATTTATAAAACTTACCAAGATTCGATTTCATTGTTCTAGTCTTCCAATATTCTAGGATCTTTAATTTTAAAACGTTTCAGTATTTCAATATACAAGAACCTTTGCCAAAATCTAAAAGATATAAAGGGATACAAGTTATCTAATATTAAAATTTATTTTTGATCGAATCTTAAACTTTTTTCTGTGCACCCATTTCAGCCAGACTATTTCTAATTTTGCGACCTGAGTGCATTGCAGGGCAGTCGGAAATTTATGGCGGGCCAGGCAGTGTCGAAAATAGCGCCAGCAACTCCGCGACAGGCGAGCGATGACAACGAAGACGATGCGAGCCCGATGTTGATAGCTATAGCTTTTCGCCCCGGCTGGAGTTACTTTCTAATGCTGCAGTCACAGTAAGAGCGCAGATGTGGATGTGGATGAGGATGAGGATGAGGATGCATTGCACACGAAAGTCATAAGCGCAGCCGAGGCAATTAAGTTCGAGCGACAAGTTGCGCCGCTGGAAGCCAGGAAACTCGGTTAGGATCGGGTGGGATCGGTGGTAAGTGTGGCGGAGGAGAAGGTGAAGGAGAAGGGGTGTGCAGCTGTTACATGTTTATGGCTCGAAACGGATCGCACGTAATGGGATTTGCGCTGAGCGACAGCGATAGCCTGTGACTGCACCAGCACCAGAAAACTGCAACAGGCACCATCCACCATCCACCAGTCACATCCACCGATTCAGATCCGTGGGGCTGAGCTGTATGGGTAGAGCCAAGGCTTCGACTCCAGCGCCTCAATAAAGCCGATCGCATTACCAATTAGGCGTGCACACTCGGCTAAACAGCCGCCTCCTTCTGGCAAGTGGAAATTGAATTAGTTGTCGCTGCATATGCGTGACTAGCTGCTGCCCGGGGCTCCGTGTTCGCCTCAGGGATGCACTGGAAAAAACTATTTTTCTTACAAAACTGACGTGATATGCAAGTAAAAACAATTCTGTATGTTAAGTAATAACCTTGAAATGAATTCTACAAAATATTTTGAATATACATAATATAACCATGATTTAATAAAAGAATTATTTAAAATTTTAGTTTCGATTACCATTTTTCCACAATAAATAAATTGTATTTAATAAAGATCTTAATTTAATTTAAATCACTAAATAGTTAATCTTAAAATAATTATAAATATACTTGGTTATAAATATAAGATTAAGATGTCCGCTTTTTCCACAAAGTCCTTTACAAACGCAGACAAATTAATATACAAATTTATCTCAAAAATACTAAAATTAAATTTTTAGTATAATAAATTTCTTTGCCTCTTAGATGACTATAATTTCTATCCGTGTATAATCAAAAGCCGGGCTAGAGAGCAGCAGTCTGGTTTGGGTGTCGCCGTTCGTATGTGTAAACACTTTTTACACTTTGCCACATTCCTGCGCCGCGCGCATAAATCAGGCGGTGCTCGCCTGTCAATCTGGAACTGCGCCATCGATAGCATCGGGGTCCTCGTGGAGCGGAGGTGACCGGAGGAGGAGCTTTTAGCAAGTGCCAACAGCCAACAGCTGGCTAGGTGTGCGCTAGTTGTGGGTCCGTTTTGTGTGCCAATGGGAATTATGGCAAGCGCCTGAGGATCCTGTTTTCCAATGCTAATGCGGCTGCTCCTCTTCTTATCAGATTAACATAAAAAAAATTATATTTTATATTATATAAATTGTATATATATTTTATTATATTTTACTAGTGGTGATGTGAATCGTTTGCTCATGTTATTACCTTGTTTTATTTTACCAGCGTTGACAACAAGGTATATATTTTCATATTATTATTTTTCTTAAGCTTTAACATATTTACAAGCCATTTAATTCTAAGCTCTAATAAGAAGTAATTTTAAAGCTAAAACTAAACAGCCTTCAAAGTAATGCTTAAGATCGACCAAAAGTAAAAGTGAATCTGAGTCTTAAGCCAATCGAATGCAGTTTCAATCGCATTCCTTAATTAATCTACTGGTTCTCCACGACTTTCCCAGGTGAAGCTCAGAGCTGCCCGAAAACCAGATGCGCTCGTTGATCAGGTGCGAATGCATCTCCCCCAGGGCGGGCACCACACGGAACTGACTCCTGAAGCAGCGATGCGTGAGCACATTGGTGACGACCCACTGTCGGTGGACGGGATTATGAAAGCAAAAGGAAATGGATCGGATTTTAAAGACTCACGGCCAATTCGTGTTGACGTTGCAGCCTCCTCATGCTTTCGTGCAGTTCCAGGAGCAGTTCGTACCGCTGGGCGCCATCCTCAAGCATTCGCAGGGAAAATGCCAGGGAGTCGATCACAATCAGTTTAATCTGAAAAGACAGTTGTGATTTTAAGTAATAAATTTGAGTAAGATATATTTAACGTTTCGGTTTTTGACGAAGAGGTTTCTTTCAAGGTATTTACAAACCTAGAATTGTAGAATTCTAGTAAAGTCATAATAGGTAGGTAAATATTAAATACAATCAATATTACATCTGGGTGATCGGCGATATGTCTGTGACAACTGAGAACCGTGGCCATCAACTGAACTAAATTGGGGCACCTCACATGGTGGATTTTTTTCAACATTTCGAGGGCCTTGAATTCTGGTACTTTGTGCTTATATTGCTTCGCAAGGTCCAGAGCTAAACCTATAAGTAGAATTCGTTAAAACATGTTAGTAAACTAGTGTATTTTTTCACCTTACCTAGCAATCTGTCCGGATGAAAATCCTGCCGAGAATCTATGAACAAAGCACTTCCTTCCAATCCACCAGCAGTCTTGGGTATTTGTACATTCAGGCACAGTTGTAAACTATTATTAAATATATTATTTAATCATTAATTATTACTTATTAACAAAAGAACTCACCACATTTGAGTTTTCCCAGTGCCCGAATTGCCAATGAGTTCTATGATTTGACCCAAGGCAATTCCGCCTCCGAAATGCTTGTCCAAGGCTCTATTTCCCGTTAGGATTTTATTCGGGGCACGTTGTGAGATGTCCCAGCAGGATTTATTGAACAAATTAGGAGTTTTGCTGAACACAGATGCACCTTTTTCCATGTTTTTGGTTCCTAAAAATTAATAATCAAAACAAACGCGCCATATGACTTAACAGCAATGTTATGAGCTAACAGGCAATGTTATGTCAGTCAGCTGTCAAAGGCTAGCTGCTGTTAAAGTGGAAAAATCAATTGATCTGGTAGCACTGCCCAACATATGTTTTTTGTTTACTATTTGATTTCCTGCGACGCGAATCTTTTTGGACTTTAGTCATCCGTAACTCCAAAATGTTGAACTTAAAGCACTTGGCCAGCCACGCCTACCGCCAGTACGAGCTGGTGACCTGCATCAACATGCTGGAGCCCTGGGAAAGGAAGCTGATCAGTGAGTACCGAAGATTCCAGGCAAAACCAATATCTAATCCGGATTATCTCACCTGACCAGATGGATTCTTTCTGTTTATGCTCGCCCTGGTGATCTTCTCCAGCTTCATGTATCTGCCGGACTATCTGCACACCCTGCTGCAGTTTGTGACGCCAGCCACTTGGCACAGCTCCCCGGAAAATGCAGCCTATGTGGCACAGAAAATGGCACGGAGCTAAGCTCCCCCATATCATTTATGTACATCCGGTACAAAAAACCCTTGCCTTGCCCACTTATACTCCCCATAGAAAGACAACTATAGTTTAACGTTTATGATATTATTGTGATTCACCGCGATTGGTCCAAGATCTGTAAATATTTAACCGTGCCAAGAAAGAAGCGTCTAACCCAATTCACCATGGTTTTTCTATATCGCAGGCAGATAACAACGGCCTCTACGATTCGCAAGGCGGATGTGTTGAAGAACAGGCCAACCAGACCGCCAAGGGAAACTAATAGAGAAGTCTTTTGTTTAGAAATTATATAGTTATTCCCTTATGACTTTGTAGCGTACTCAAGAAATCCAGGATAGTTTTGGTCACGCGACGCACATATCTTTGAGTGGGCAACTCAACCAGAGCCACTCGGATTTGGGAGACATCATCTGAGGCTTCGTCATCCCTGGCAATTGGAAAGGGAACTTAAAATCCATTTTGTATATATACAATTTAAGTTATAAATGTACTTACTCATCCGCCGAGTTGTAGATAATGTTGTACTCCGGCTCCTCGCAGGAGCTCATGCATTCGCAGGATTTTCGCTCCGTCATGATCTTATCCCTGATCCTGGTGAGGCAAATCAGCCCGCGGTAGTCGCAGACGGGCAGGTAGTTCTGGCCGGGAGTGGCCATAAAATGGCTGGTGCAGTTACAGTTATCCAGCTGGAGAAGCACAGTGCTTGGAAATATTAATATAATCAATAAAATTAATATATATGAAATAAGTTTTCCAATGGTTGACTATTACCATTCCACCACACAACCAGAATAGCTGTAGAATTCGTAGATTCCCTGCCTTTCCGGCACATGCTCATTGCCATAGCGACATCGCCGCTGCTCCATACTCAAATCCTGGACACTCTCGTCGTTGTGCACCTCTATCACATTCAGAATCAGCTCCTTGTAGTGACCCAGTAACACAGTTTCCCTGATCATGCCCTCGGAAAACTGGTAAGGCACATCGATGGGAGCATGAACATAAAGCTGGATATCGGCGGCAGCTTGGAAATTTAGATGTCCCGGACCCGTCATCCGGTTATTGGTGAACTGGACATGGGACACTTTGCGAGCCTGATGCGAGTTGAAGGAGTAACACAACCCATATTCCGTTGGCAGCGGCAGAAATTGATCGCAACAGTCAAAAAGTTCGTTTAGATAAGTGCAATTCAGCAGTAACTGATGGCACTTGGAACGGAACTGCAAGGTATTGGGATTATATTTGTTGTAAGATAAAACTAGGTATATATTCCAGCCCACCACATCCACGAGCACCGTAAAGTTGGCAGGACATCGCATCTTGGAGCAATCCTCGCAACTGCTGCAGACCCCTCGATAGAATACAATTTCCGAAATAAAGTCATCCATGTGCATATCGTGCTCTACCCCAAAATTTGAATCACTCAGATCCCAGATCCTTTCGGCATTGTATATTTCACACACAGTAATTGCAGGAAAAGTAGAGTTCCAGTTCAAACTAAACCAAATTAAATTATTAAATCTATTTTTACCGATTTCAAACTTACTATATCGTATCCAAATTGAAGGAGACCGACGAGGAGAGATAGCTGTTGAGCAAAGACATGGAGACACTTGCAAAGAAGGGCAGCGTATGATAAAAGGTCACCAAGTAGAGAATCCTAAATTAAAGTAAGCTTTATAGCGGAAACTACCAAATATATAATAACTCACATCTTTAGTAAAAAACCGTTGAAGCGGCTAAAATGCATTGTGAACTATCCTGCGGAAAAAACCAAACTGTTTGACCAAGTTTTTCTTTCGTGTCCTTTTCGCCGGTGAGCTTTCAATAACAATAGGCGATATGTGATATCCATCTTTCCATTGTTTTCTTCTTGGCCCACATTAAAATAACTACCCTGTTTTATGGGCTTGGATTTAGTTCAATGTTAAAACCGACATGAAACAGACGCGTCTGGTGATTATTTAAATGGACATCCTGGAAATCATTTATCATATCGGTCTTATCAAGGGCGTAGGTCAGTTATTGCAAACAGCTACATACATATTTGTTTTAAAAGTGCTAACACTAAAATTAAGTTAGTAAATAATTTGATTCTTAGTCCAGATCTTATGAAACTCACAAGAATAATAAATGGTATGGTATCTGATTGAAGCTTCTGAAAAGTCTCCTTTTTATTGAGAGATTTTTGATTAAGAAACAATTTCAATTGGCTTGGAAATTAATCGAAATACCCTTTCTGAAGCTTAGCTTTAACAATATGAATTCTAAGAAATTTGTATAATTGTCTTAAAATTTTTAAATTTATTACAACTTTAATTTTAAACCCCTAAATAAATTTAGAACGGTACAATTTACTATGACTTTAGTCCAACATATAGGCCTATTGCAGGTTCTGTGTGATCCAAGGAAGCATGTCGATGACGCTGGCGAAGATTCCCGGTTGATTCTGCTCCTGGCCACAGTAACTTCCTCCAAATGAGATAACGCCGTACTGTATCTCTCGGTACATGTTCTTGAATCGGTGCTCGAAGAACAGTGGTCCGCCGGAATCTCCACGACAAGTCTGCTTGATGCCGGTTCCCGTGGCGCAGATGTGGCTGTCATTCACCTCGTCCTTGTTGTAGTATTGCCGACACTCATCCAGATCAGTCCGCGAGACCAGGACCTCTTGGAGTTGGGGGGCAAAAGTCGCATTCTCAGTTGCACCCCATCCGACGATGAAGAAGCCTTGGTCATAGGCCAGTTCCTGGGATTGCTTATCGATGGGTAGGCAAACGGGATTAATATTCCATATTTGGTCAATCACGCGATCTAACTGGATGATGGCTAAGTCGAAACCGATCTGGCCATGAACGTAGCTGGGATGCACTCGTATCTTCTCCACGCCGTACTCCTCGATCATTGGAAGGCAAATTTGCTTCTTGCCGTTGAAGAAGTAACAGTCCTTCTCCGTCTCCAGATCGTGCTCGCCCAGGCGGACCGCAACTCTATATATTCAAGAAATTTAGTCATCAGATATATTCTATTTAGTAACCTTTTAATACAAATACTAAATCTTATTAAAGTCACTTTAATTATTCTCATCATTATTATTTTATTTTTTTGACATTCATCTAATATATCTCCTTTTTTCATAATCTTAAAAAATTAAAACTTACACTTCAGGCTGCGAGATGATGCAGTGGGCTGCGGTGGGAATGTGTCTCTCGGTAATAAGGCTGCCACCACAGAGGAAGGGACGTAGATCGTTGATCTTGTACTTGAGCAGTGCCACCCAAGGATATTCACCGGGTCTGGCTGTCCTCCCGCCCGCACCTACGGTCAGGGGAGGAGGACGTCTTATCCCACAATTTGTCACCGAGTTCAGCAACCTCAGACCCCGTCGATCGTAACGATTCAGATTTTTGCTCTCCGATCGCACGACCTTACTCTTAGAATCGTCTTCGACAGACTCGTTAGGGCAACAAATATGGATTTCCTATAAATGAAGTAGGTTTTGTAAACAAAAGTGTTTTTTAAAGCATTAGCATAATGTTTGCCATCATTATACCTTCGTATTTACATTAGTTTTGCACTGCATCTGACTGAATTGGTTTTGAATATAAAGTGGTATATTATCGCCGAAGATCCCGATAATCTTCTGCACAAAAGGACACTCCTCGTGTTTTACGCAATGACCCGCTGCTCCGTTTGGAATGACGCAACTGCTCTCTGTATGGTAATTAAATTGTAAACACCTTTCCAAAGTTACAAAATCTAATGATGACTTACGGCTGAGAACAAGCTGCGGACAGACGCACAACATCATTCCGAAGCTTAAAATCATCATAATTACCATCCTGACTAATTGTTGTGATCAGTGATCGGTTATCAATGTGGGAGGTTAACCTGCTATTGTTGCAAACCAGTTTTACCTCCGGATGCTACTGTTTATACTACTGGAGATCCCGAAGATCTCTGACGAGCGCGTTGAACTGATCAACTTGTTATGAACCCCAGATCGTCGTGTGCCAAGCTTTTTAGCTCGGACTCACGTGCTCGGAAAAGCGCCAAGTCAATCCAGACAACTTTAGAAATCTATACAGGTTCTAATACAGGAGTCAGATTATGATTCGAGCTACCTTAAGAGTTAAGCTATCAAATTAGATAAATTATGTATCTACTGCATAATAATTTTTGAGCATTGCACCCTTCTTCAATAAATTTATATACCCGATAAGGACATTAAGATTAGTGAGGTTAAATTCTTAGTAATCCTCTTTAGTCAATTTCTGAAAGGGACTGAACCACGGACCTGTTCTTTCATTATTATTATTGCTGAAGCTTATATTATTCCCTAGATCCGCGATTGTGGTTGTTTAAGGTCCAATTTAGGCCGTTCGATAATATTATTATTGCTTAATCGAATATTATTCCCTAGATCCGCGATTGTGGTTGCTTAGGGTCCATTTTAGCCGGTTAGTTTGAGCCCCACGTATATGGTGTTGCCTCTAATCGATTGGGATTAGTTTGGAATCACTTGTTTATAAACAAAACAAGGTTCATATAATCTTGATGGGTTGCCACAATTAATGCAGCATCTAACCGCAAATTATAGCATACCAAAGAAATTACATCTGGGGCTGACTCACAGCTTTGGTTAATTAATTCGATCAAAAGTTGCAGTTTAAATCGATATTGAAAAGAGTTTAACGTAATAATGACTATGATGGTTGCAATTCCGTAGCTTCTGAGAAATCACGACTCTACGGAGTGATCTTTGTATTCGAAAGATTGGGGCCTACAACTTAAGTGGTAACTAGACGTCATCTATTAACTGATTGCAACAAGGGAAGTGCATTTTTTTAATTTATTCCGGATTTGAATACCTATGAGTCAGTAGTTCATGCACCAGTGCGTCTTTTCGAAAGAGGCATTGTACGATTGAGAAAAAATTTATATCACTTGATTTTTTTTTAGTAGAATGACTAATATCTATGTAATTTTCGAGTAAGAAAAAATATTACATTTTAATTTTTTTTTTTTTCATAAAAAAGTATGAATCATATCTTTGGCATTTGAAAACAATTTTCAAGCATTATCGCTGCTATGGAATTTTTTTAATACATCAATAACAGTAAAAACTATTTAAAAATTTGGTGTACCATCTTATATTTTCAAAATAAATATCAAAATGCGGATTGAAAATGTACCTAAATGTAAAAAATGTTCTTAGTGTTTCTTTGCTGTAACTTGGCCATAAATTGTCAAAAACTAAAAACATGTACAGGTTTTGAACAGCTAACAAACTTTCAAATGATCCACGTGACTTTCCGCCTGATTAGACAAAATTTATTTCCGTGCCAAATCTTTAATTTTTCTAATATTTTGCGAAAAAATTCTAAAATTTCAATTTTTAGGCTTGAGTGGTGGTACTGGTTGATTATATTACGAGCTCAACGAGCTATGACATTCCATATTTGGAGTATAATTTCTAATTCGAGCTCAGCGAGGTATGACATTCCAAATTTAGAACACAGGAAAGTGTGTTGTGCCCGAAATATTTTTCTCTGTTCAAAAGTGATCCAAATCGGTTCAGAATGAAAAAGAAGAAAGGCGACACTAAAGCGATTTAAATTGATTTATCTCGAACACGATACTCTGGAAATAAAGTTTTTTAAACCACTTCTTCTAAGTTATAAAGTATCCCCTTATCATTACCCCTTTTTTTAACCAAACCGAGAAAAGCAAATTCCATTTGATTATTGCTGCTTACATCGTGTATTAAATAAATTTACAAAGCTAGGGAATCCATTAGAGTAACTATGGCAAGGGGTCTTAGGACTAAGGATATAAATAAGGTGGTCTCTTTGAAATCAAGTGTGTATCAGGTGGCGTCTACTGCAGGTTCTGGGTGATCCAGGGAAGCATGTCGATAACGCTGGCGAAGACTCCCGGCTGATTGTTGTTCTGGCCGCAGTGACTGTTGCCGAAGGAGACCACGCCGTACTGAACCACTCGGTATTTGTTCTTGAATCGATGCGTAAAGAACACCGGGCCACCGGAATCTCCGCGGCAGGTGTGCTTGATTCCGGATCCCGTGGCGCAAATGTGGTTCTGACTAACCTCACCCTTGTTGTAGTACTGCCGGCACTCGTCCAGATTCTTCCGGGTGACCAGGGCCTGTTGCAGCTTGGCGGATGCACTGCCATGCTCGGTTCCGCCCCATCCGGCGATGAAGAAGCTCTGGTCATAGGCCAGTTCCTGGGACTTCGGATCGATGGGCAGGCACACGGGCTTAATATGAGTCTTCTCCTTAACCACTCCATTCAGCTGGATGATGGCTATGTCGTATCCGATCTGGCCATGGACGTAGTTGGGATGCACACGAATCTTCTCCACGCCGTACTCCTCGTAGGGAGGCAGACAGACGCGGGTAGTGCCGCCCAAATAGTGGCAATCCTCCTCCGAATCCAGGTCATGCTCACCCAGGCGAACTGCAGTTCTGTAATACAGACAAGTTTTGCATAAATTAGTCATCAGTTATTAGTCATACACACAAAAAAAATCATGTTCCCGTAAAATCGATATGGTCATGTAAATTTCCCATATCGTTTTTACATGAAATACCCTTTTCGACCAGGTCAAGTACGTTTCATATCGCTTTTATTTTGGGTTTACCTACATATACTACCAATATTTAAAAATTAATATATACTAAAGATACAAACATATTGACAATATTAATGCCAGTATCAGAGTGAAATTATTTTATCACCTTAGGAAATGTTTAATCAATATCAATGACTAGTTAAATCAGATCCAAACAAAAATCTTTACTATGATTTTAAATATTATCAAAAAATTTAGACGCTGTAGCCCTATGCATTAATAAAGACAGTTTTATATTAAGAGTATTTTGTACTTACACTTCGGGCTGCGAGATGATGCAGTGGGCGGCGGTGAGGACGTGGCGCTCACTGATAAGGCTTCCACCGCAGAGAAAGGGACGATCGGCGTTGATCTTGTACTTGAGCAGGGCCACCCAGGGAAAATCTCCTGGCTTGGCTGTCCTTCCACCGCTGACCTTGGGATTGCCTTTGTTGCCGCAGTTGGTCACCGAGTTCAGCAGCTGCAGACCCTGTCGATCGTACCGGTTCAGATTACCACTCTCCGATCGCACAACCTTTCGCTGGGACTCCTGGTTGGATGACGACTGCGGGGTGGCTTCATTGGGGCAACAAAGATGGAAGTCCTGTAAATCAAATTGGATTTGTTATTAAATTCTGATTTTTTTAAGTAGTAATAATATAAATATTTTGTTCAATCTAAATAAACATTTTTAAATAGATCTGTTACCAACTTACTTGAGTATTTGTAGTGCTTCTGCACTGCATCTGAGCGATTTGGCTATGAATATTCCGTGGTATATTACGTCCGTATAGATTGATAATATTCTGCACAAACGGACACTCCTGATACCTTATGCAGGTGCCAACTGCTTTGTTCGGAGTGATGCAACTATTCTCTGTAAGTCGGTTATAATATAGTTTTTAACACCTCCCAGAAGATAAATCTCTATAAAAACTTACGACTGAGAACCAGCTGCGGCAAGAGGCACACGACCACTGCGAAGCTTAGAATCGCCGTAAATATCATCCTGCCTGATTGCTGTAATCAGTGATAAATGTGGTGGGTGTTCCTGGTATTGCTTAGAACCTGTCTTAAGTCCGGATGGAGATGCTGTTCCCGATCACGATTAAGTTCTCCAACGTGTGCGCTGAACAGATCAACTTGCAATGAACCGCAGTTCGTCGTGTGCCGAGCTTTTGTAGCTCGGATTCGCGTGCTCGGGGAAGCGCCAAGCCAAGTCAATTCAATCCGAACGGCATTAATGATCAATAGCTGAGCGCAATCCCAGATCGCCGATACAGGTTTTTGCGGCACTTCCACAAGAGATATAGTAGATATAGTAGTTTCAGAAATTAGCTACCATACCAAGTTATAGTGTCGTGGGTCTGAAATACTATACTATATAGTGATAGTCGGAGGGGGCACAGTTTTGTTTACTTTACTACCTGGTGCCAGGTACAATAAACTATTATGAACTACAACTTTTTAAGATGTTTATTTTCATTAATATTCTTACTCATTTTCTCTGAAAAATAAAAAAGTTCCCAAATTAAGAAAATTATATCTTATGATTTTCGGTGAACTCGATTTTTTTAAATATGATTTAAAACCACATTGGATTGGTTCTCTTAGTGTATGTATGTTCTTTTATATTATTCTTGCTTTCTCTTATTTAAATAATTAATTTTTTTAAGAAATCATTATTTTATTCTATAATTAATGATATTAATATTATAATGAAATATTTAAAAATTAAAGCATAATGGTACTGAGCATTGATGAAAAATGAGTTTCATCACTAGTGATATTGAACTGAAAGCGATCGACTAAAAAGCGATCGTAGAGCTTGGAGCGTGGGAAAAGCGTTTAAATTCCAGGAAACCCCCTGGCCAATTGATCTCTCTCCCATTCTCGGCTAGTTTCCATGTCTCTACCCCTCCAAATCCCCATGAATGTCCAACAAGTCGATCTTTGGCCGTGTCTCGGGGACTGGCACGCGTCAATAAAGTTCAACAGGTGGGGCTGAGGCTAAACAACCATTAAAAGCGGTACTTTTTTACTCAATTAGTATGCTCTCCAATTCCCCCATTCACCTGGCTACGCCCATGGTACGGATCGTCGCCGGGCTACCTGGTCGCCGGATCGAAACCCGTTCTTTGGATATGAATATGATGTGTAACATGGAATTTCCAGAACAGAAATTCCCAGCACTGCGCCATGCGTGCTAAAATAAAAACCCCCCGAAATTTGTGGTTTGCAATCAAGATCCTGCTAAATTTAAAGCCCACGTCACTTAGGATAGGTCGGAAAATCAGGGCCCTATAAAGTTCCGATTGTTAATAGCCATAGTACTTGAGTATTTAATAAGTAATCTCATGGGGTAACATAAACAATAATCAAGTCGAAGCTTATCTCGGTTCATTGAATCGATTGAACTCGTATATTAACCACATTATCGCGATTGATTAATGGCACAATGCCTACTTATTTCCCTTAAAGCTATTTAGCCCCCTAGGCAACATACAATGTTACTTCAAGAGTTTGTTAAAGAGCGATATTACTCATACGTCACATTGCACAATAATTCTGATTGTTAATATTCATAGAAAATTTGAAATTATTAGCCGGTCTTAGTTAAGCTTAGTTTATAATCAAACGAAAGCCATTGAATAATAATAAGATTTGTTTATGATTCATAGTTGAGATTTGAAAATAGAGACATTACTACATTACATTGAAATGTAAAAATTTTAAGAAATCCCGACTTGTTCTCAAGACTTCTAATATGTAAAACACACCTATATATTTTAATAAATTTCAGTATCTTTAACATATGTACCTCAACATTCAGGTATTATTTTATTCAAACCGCATTTCCCAATAAAACCGCAGGTGACAAATGAGTTTACAAATATGTGTATATTATATTTTTGGGTTGGACTAATTACTAAGGTACACTCTAAAAAACTGACGACTCTCCTCACAGGCCATTGCTGGCCATGGTGTCCGTGATCCACTGGACGTACTCTCCGACATTGGTATACAGACCGGGAAGGCTAATTTGTCCACAGCTCACGACACCCTGGCTCACAATTCCGAATTCGACCATTTTGGGGGCAAACTCGCCTAAGTACTGGGCGGGCGCCTGGAGTGGACCACCGGAGTCACCTTTGCAGGAATCCTGCAGATCACCACCGCCCACACAAAGCTGCGTGGAGGGCACATCTCTTTTGTAGGCCTGCGAACAGGCGGAGCGCGGCTGGAGAGGCACATTCGCCTGGAGCAGCACATCTGAGGCGGAACCCTTTTCCGTGGTCCCCCAGCCGGTGACGAAGAAGCTGCTGATCTGCTCCGCCTTCTGCTTCAGTTCATCCGTGATGGGCAGGCAAATGGGTTTGATGTGTTCTATAGGGAATATTTAATTAGCAATATCCATGAAGAGGTTTTCAATTAATAATCTTACTTTGAAAAGGAACACTTGTGTTCAGTCGCAGCAAGGCAATGTCGTTCATAATGCGACGGTTATCGTACTTTTCATGGACCAGGTGCTTCTCAATGCCCACATCCACAACCGGCGGAGCACACTTCTTTTTGCGTCCCTGCTGCCGGCAGTCCTCATCCGTGGAGATGCGGTGCTCACCCAGGCGAATCTCGTAGCTAAGGGTTAAGAAAGTGAAGAGATTAATAATATTTAATATTTTAAGAATGGATTCATCTACTTACAGGTCATTCTGAAGTCCATGGACACAGTGAGCAGCAGTTAGGATGTAGCCTATATTGAAGTATACATATTATTATTAATAATTTATCATATTCTGCATATGGAAAACCTACGTTCGGAGATCATGGCGCCGCCGCAGAGGAACTTGGACTCCCCAAACTGATTGTAACGGAGCAGGGCCATCCAGGGTCTGGAGGAGAGCTTCACCTCGTAGCCATTGGCCACTCGTTGACTGAGGAAATTGCCGCAGTCGAAGTTCTCATCCTTGAACAGGGTCATCACCTTGGAATTGTGCTGGATCTGGGCGGAAGCACAGCAGAAATGACGCTGGAAGGGAAAGCATCATCAATACGAGTTTAAACAATACAATAAACATTTTAATTATTAACAGAAATCTTGAACTAAACGTTTCCTGAGAATTTGTTTGTTTATAGTTAGTTACTAGAATGTATTTAATTTGATATACGGACCAATAAAAATTCTGTCTTGTTTTATTCGCTTTAAAAACGAAACTGACACTTTATTTAAATGGCTTTCTATATGTAAATAAGCTAAGTTTTATTAAACCAGCTAGTGGTGTGAACTATAGCTATAGCTATAAAATTCTAATTTATTAAATGTGCACTTAATATAATCAGTATTTAAACTGTGTGAATTTACATACATATATGTATAATGTTCCAAAGGGGGTTTTTCGTTTGATTCAATTGATTTGAACACAAAGTACATATACATAGATTAAAGATAATGTTGACATTGATTTGTTGATTGATCTTTAGACATTTGCTTTCAGAATTAAGTAAAAATTTTTTCAACTCACCACACCATCGAACTCCCCGCAGGAGGCCCTCTGCAGATAGCTGGCATAGTCCGCCGGCACTTTCTGTCCGGATTTCTGGGCCTGTTGGAGCCGCTCCTCGATGTTCCGGCAGGAGGAGAAGGGCATGCACTGGCCCTGGTCGCCGTCAGGTGTTTGGCATCCGTCGGCGTAATCTGACCCATGTAATGTACATCAATATTAGCATTGCACTAGGGGGGATTCGAACTCGGATTCTGATTCTGATTCGGAGAATTCCTCTAACCTGCTCGGGCAGATTGCACGCCCATCGACGACACGAGGGCAATGCCATATATGACGACGAGGCTGCTGCCAATCATCTCGCTGGAATCGCTGATCTGGACTGATCGGAACCGGTAGTGTGATGCGGAATTCTGGGCAAACAGACGTCTCAAGCTCGACTGGGAGATAGCTAGCTGAGAAGTTGCGTTTTATACCTCCAGGCGATGAGAGAACGAAATCGAGTTTAAATCAGAGCTTAAATCTCTCAGTATTTTTGGGCTATCACAATATCTCTCACTGTGATCCGGAATTAACAATCAATCGTTTATGGGAATATCCAAATATTATCAAACATTTGTTTATACTTCCCGAGACGAGACAATGACAAAACGAGTTAATTAAATCTCAGACTCTCTTTCTCAGAAAAAAATACCTGAATCTCTCTGCTCAAAAAGCTCCGAAAACAAAGAGGCTTGAAGTTCTCGAGCAAATACTTGTTCTAAAGGATCCCATTAAGCAGAAGTGTGAGTGATTTAACTTGTGTTTTTATTTTATTGTTTATCGCACATCATCATCATCTAGTCAGTGGTACAATGGCTGAGTCGGTCCGATCGATCATTATAGGGATAGGTTTTCTAGTTATTGATACTTTAGCTCGACCTTGGTAACAATAAATTATAACAAAGCTGCTTAATTGCGTTAATAAATATCAGACATGGCTCAACAACAAAACATAATCGTCACTCGAATATATCTACGATATATTATATATATATGGAAACTAAACGATAGAAATCATAATGCTTTAACTTAGATAGTTGGAGGTTAACGGCAGCGAATTGAGTTGTTTTACATGTGGAATCGGTTGGATGGTTGGTTGGTTTGGTTGTGTTGCTCTCACCAGTTCTCGAAGCAGTTAGCTCTGCTGTCTAGCCAATTTTTCTAGGCGGTCGAAGGTTTGTTGGGGGGGTTCGATAATTTACATAAGTTCCTCGCTCTCTGTTTGTCAAACGAAAGGAACATATAGCAATAGATAAATCAATCAATTGTCGAATTTCGGGTGGGTGATTAAGCGTGAATTTGGTATAATAAAAATATAGCTTTTAGAGCTCGCTTTATGCCGCCGTCAGTAGTTAGTAGTAGGTAGACAGAGCAGATCAGTTTGGGAAGCTGGGGAAAATGCACAGAGAATGCAGGGAGAGAGTTATGGCAAGCGGCGAGGGTATGGAACTGCAAAGCCAATCGGGGTGGTTAAGTTACAGCAAACCATAAACATAGCACAGATTAAATACAGATAGGATAGTGATAGGATAGAATACTGCGTAATTGCTTTTCTTTTTAGAGGCGTAGTCATCGTCACAGTCATTGTCGTCACTTGGTATCGGTATATCGGTACTTTGGTATCACAAAATTAATAACATGATAATTTATACAAATATAAAAACACGGCATACATATATAATACTATGAACAATTTGAAAATACACTTAAGAATTAATCCGACAGCTCCGTCGCTTATGTCACAGTTCGTAAACCTCCCCACATCGCCGACTAATGGTCTAGTGGTATTGTTAACAAATTTTGCAATCATCTTTTTTAGTCAACAATGTGTGGGAGATATTCGAAACGGAGACTGAACGACGGGCGCCAACGGATCGATCAACAAACATTTAAAGTGAGCACTTGAAATTTATCTAGTCTAGAGAGTAGGCTTGTTAGTAGTCGGTTGGTTGGTTTGGTTGGTTGGTTGCTTGGTGCTGATGGTGTACGCTTGGAAGTAGTAGAGTGTGTTAGATGCAAAACAGAACGGTGCCATCAATCAGTTGAACGCGTTTAATGCTTTTTATTTGATGGCGGCAATGAGCGGGCTTTCTTCGCCTAGAATAAATAGAGAGAAATTAATTATCACTTTGTTTTCCATAGAGTTTTGTGGGCACTAATTCACGAGTCTTAATGTAGGGCATCCTCGGCCAGACCCAAGAAGCCGGCATGGAGCTCTCGTAGTTGAAGTTGTACAGCTGGTTCTCCAGCCACTTGCGCTTGTCCTGCGGCTCAGGATAGGTGGATGCCAGGCCTTAAGAAAAATATAAAATTAGTCAAATATTTCTTTATATAAAAGGGGTTTTATTTCACCTCTATCGTAGGCACACTTGGTCACGCCAACGGCAATGTTCATCGACACCTCGCGGATGCTGGAAAGCGGAGGATACAGCGATCCGCGCTCAATGTCGCTGGGCTCCACGAAGTTGGCCAGCTCCTGGGCGGCGATGAGGAACATTTCGTCGGGTATGTGATGGGTGCCCGTGCAGATCACGCCCAAACCGACGCCGGGGAAGATGTAGGCGTTGTTGCCCTGTCCCGGATAGAAGGTCTTGTCGCCGACCTGCACCGGTGGGAAGGGAGAGCCCGACGAGAAGATGACGCGAGCCTGTCGTTAAAAAAGAAATCTCATTAAAGGGAGCTTCTATAATGGGTAGATTTAACAAACTCACATCTGTGTGCTTGTAGGCATCCTCGGCGGTGCACTCAGCCTTGCTGGTGGGATTGGACAGGGCGAACACCACGGGCCTCTCGTTGTTATCCGCCATGGTGCGCAGGATCTCAGGTGTGAAAATGCCGGCAGCAGCAGAAGCACCAATAAGCACCTGTTGATTAGATGGAGATTAGCAAAATTTGTAAAAGAAAAGGCATACAAACTAGAGCCCTGCGTGAATCATTAAATTTTTGTTTTATTATAGTATGCCATGAAATTTCTCATTTGTTTAATTCAATTCTATGTGAAATAAATTTAATTTCGAATTGAATGAATAAATGAATAATTTTTATGAATTTTTTGAATTTGCCAGATTTTTTTGTGCTTTCTTTTGAGAACAAAAAATTTATTTATAACAAAATAATGGACTGTTCTTCTTCGAAAGAAATTGTCGTTTGAATTATTTCGCAATTCATTCCATTCATTCATTTAAGTCTATTAAACTCAAAATTCAAATTCATTCAATTCTATTAAACTCAAAATTCTAATTAATTCATTCATATAAAACATAAAATTCAACATAATTCATTGAATCCATTCACGCAGGGCTCTATATACAAACTTACACTGGGCTTGATGGTCGAGACAATCTCGGCGAGATCGGCCATGGGATTGATGTCCTTGGCGTAGTGAATCTTGTGGCCATCCAGGTTGCCCACCTTGCGGCTCTTGGTTAGCAGACCGTCGATATCCACCATGTAAATTCGGTTGTAGGCCTCCTCGATGGGCACGCCATCCTCCACCATGGCCTTGACCGTGAGATCGGCGATGCCGATGGCCGCCTCACCGGCACCGGCGAACAGGAAGGTGTAGTCCTTGAAGGACTTGCCGGTGATACGCTTGGAGGCATACAATCCAGCGACGGCCACGGAGGCTGTGCCCTGGATGTCGTCGTTGAAGGTGCAGTAGGTGTTGCGGTACTTGTCCAAGAACCTAAATGCATTGTGGTTGCCAAAGTCCTCGAACTGGATGAGGGTGTTCTGGCCATAACGCTGCACCACCGCCTCCATGAACTCGTCGATGAAGTCGTCGTACTCCCGTCCAACCACTCGCTTCTGACGCAGACCCACGTACAGGGGATCCTCCAGCAGATCGATGTTGTTGGTGCCCACGTCCACCAAGATGGGGAGGCACTGGTGGGGTTTGATTCCGGCCAGAGCCGTGTACAAGGCCAGCTTGCCCACGGGAATGCCCATGCCGCAGGCACCCAAATCTCCCAGTCCCAGGATGCGCTCGCCATCCGTCACGCAGATGGCACGGACATTCGGCTCCGGCCAGTTCTTCATCACATCGAAGATGTGTCCGCGATCGTTGTAGGTGATGAACAGACCATGGGGACGCCTGTAGATCAGGCCAAAGCGCTGGCAAGCCAAACCCACTGTGGGCGTGTAGACGATGGGCATCAGATCCTCGATGTTCTCCGAGAGGAAGCGGAAGAAGAGCCGCTCGTTACGATCGTACAGATCGCTCAGATAGAGGTACTTGTTCAAAGGTTCCGTGTACCTGTTCACCGCGATCTTGCAGAGCTGCAGCTGCTCCTCCTGGGTCTTGAACCTCGCCGGCTGCAGTCCATGGATGCCGAGAGTCTGGCGCTCCTCCAGGGTGAAGGCCAAGCCCTAGAAAAATAAAACAGGATGAGTATGATTAAGTTAAAGATTAAAAGTAAAAATAAACCATGGAAAAATCTAAAAATTTTTGTTTCTAACAGCTTAATATTTTTAATTTTAATATGAACGATAAGTATTTGAAATTAGTCATGATATAATATTAAATTCTACTTTTAAGTATATGCCAAACAGAAATAGAATGGTAATTCATCGCAAAATTAGTGTTATCTTTAAGTGATAAACAAACATTTTGCTTATTAAAGCTAAACACGTTTAATATCGCGATAAATAATCAAGTTCTTGTGATAAACAAATTTATTATTGATAAATTACCACAGTATCAAGGCTAGTGAACTCCCCTATGATTCATTTTTACAGAGAAACGTATCAGAAAAAACCATTTAAATTATTTCAGAATTCATAAAGAAAATTGTATAAAATATTATAAAATCTATCTAGTACTTTCTTACCTTGTTGAGTCGTGGATCACGGATGTGGTCTATTCCCCGCACCTGGGAGGGGCAGATGATATCGCCGACCACCTCATGATAATGCCGGGCGGCGGGAACTGTTGCGGCTGCCACTGTAGTTTTTCCTGTTGCTGAAGTGCCGCATCGGCACAATTTGCCCACAGTTCCGCACAAGCTGCAAATTGCAAAAGTGCATTACGTGTGTTATTTATCAGCACAGCAATTGTGGAGCACCCCCTGTGGGAACTCTTGACTTTGAGAGGGGATCGTGGAGCAGCCCCTCTGACATTCTTGACATTGCCCCTGGGGGAGGTGTTTCCCACCCCCCGCCCACACACGGAATAAAAAAAAGCCATGTTCAAGGTCGACGTCAGCTGCTTTTTGTTTATCACCGCGCCCTGGGCACGCCAAAATATAAAATGAAAAGCAAAAAAGAAGGAAACTAAGCCGCATTGTTTACAGCTGTCCCCCGGAATTCAAAGCGCCGGCGATAAGGGGGACTGATGGCCTGGCAACATCACGATAAAATCTACCCACAGCAACGATTATAAAGCTAGCATCAAATGTAAAAATATTTTTAATATATGTAATTATTTTGGGTTTTCTTTTTTCTAAGTATTCTTTCATAAGTAACTACCACAATATATTACGAAAACACAAGAACATTATCTTTTATTCTCAGTACGGACAACTATTCTGATTACGGACAACTGAAGGAACTAATTTTTGCCTTGCTAAGTGTAGAGTGTACCATTGATTGAGTTACAAAACAAATCATTGAACTTGAAAATGTTATTCTGTTCTTGAAATAGAACTCAGCCAGATTAGATTACAGAGTACATTGGCCAACTACTTGTAATGAAGGGCTTACAAAAATAAATTATGGGTCTGATAATATACCATCAATTAATTAAAAACAAGTTCTGATGATACCGTTTGTGTTTGCAGTGCCTTTAAATTATTTTCTACAGGTTTACCCCTATAGTTTTGACCCCTGCTGTTACACGATGTGTATATTTTTGCTAGCTTCCAGTTCCATTAGATGGTGCTAATTACGAGAGAGGCAAATGCGGAGACAGAGGCGTGTGACTAATTTGAGTTAGTGGTTCATTGATGAAATCATGCTCGGGGGGAGTGGGCTGGTATCGGATTTTGGTCAAGTTGGAACCGGTTAATGACGTGCGCCGAACTGGAAACCCCATGACGAGGCCCCAGAGATCCCTTCCGAGCACTCCGGACTGATAATTATCGTTTAGGTAACGCCATCGTTCGTCAATTTCCATTCGGACTGTTTGAACGGCACTCACATGAGCTCGTCAAGTGCTAAACAATTTCGCATATCTGTATCTGAGCCAAATACACGGAATAAGTGCGTGTCGTAAATGCCTTCGAGTGTTATTATTCTATATCTATGAGTGCGAGCGCGCGGCTACCATTAATTATTTTTTAGGGTCCGAAAAATAAGCCCTAAGAATATATTCCCCCCCTAAAACTGGAGTTTCGAAGGCAAAAGCGGGCCGAGTTCATTAAACTCTTACACTTTTTTTATTGGCCGAAATTCTTGCTAACGGTTTGCGTGGGAAAGAGAGGCAGAATATAGCGGGCCAGCTGAAAAACATTTCTTGATGAACTTGGCAACGAAAAACGCTTACAATGGCGAAACAAAACACACATTTTTTCGGTATACACACTAAATTTAGAATTTTGCCAGACCATCTTTCGAATATATGATATGTCCATGTCCATGGACGTGAAGGTGTTGCTTATTCGCTACACAGGGAATTTAATACTTAAGTTGAAATATTAAAATAAATTCTTATTATCAAAAATGTTGGAGAATTTTCAAAGAACAGCTTTTTTGTAGTTCAAAGATATGCTAATTTAAAACAGAATATTATAATATTTTCCAAAACATATTTCTCCCTGTGTATCCCATTGATTTTTTCAGCTGTTTGTTGTTTTGGCAGCCAAAAAACAGAGGTAAATTCAAAAACTCTTATGCAACTGCAAGGGAAAAGTGAAAATTTTGAAAACAGCTGTTTGGCGAATAAGAGGAAGTGCGCGCGAGAGCGGGAGGGAAGATGAAGGGTCAATGCCAGGCCATGTGCCAATCTCAGTCTGTCCCTTTCTCACTTAGGAAATCCCTGTGTGAAATTTTGTTTGTGTTGCCCCCAGTGAAACTGAAAGCTGCGCAAAAGAAAACGAAAAAAAAGCAAAAGAGGGGATGATATATATACCGACGCCTTGGCGGCGATTCGTCTGATCCGAATGACTAGGTCACTGGGCTACCAGCTGGGGCAGTTCCTCGTCCCGAATCGCGAAATGTTGCATAATTCCCGCCCTCAAAACGTAGGAAACCCACACACTCACACATCCTGCTCGCCGAAAGTCCTTGCGAAAAAAGCTTACCTGGGTCGTGAGAACATTTTTAATTCCTTGAATTCCTTTCCGTTGGCTTAATATTTTGTTTAACTCTTATTTTCAGACCCTGCGTTGACAGTTGTCCGGGTTGCTGGGGGTAATACTTTCGGTTGCGTTTGTTAACTCTGCGATGTGCCACGGTCAGCGCCGACGACGATTTTCCAGGAATAAAATTACAGCTTCTACGCGCGGTTTTTAACCCTCCCACAATTTTACAAAAACAAAAATTGTGGGGCCAGGCGGGGAAATACCAGAAAAATAGGGGAAAAATAAGGGGCTAAAAAAGGCAGCAGTTATCGAATTAGGTAACACTGTCAAAACGTAAGTGTAATTTAACGTAAGTGTCAGTTATACGTAAGTGTCAGTTATACGTAACGAATTTACAAAAACAAAAACTGTGGCGGGGAAATACCGCGGAAAATAAGGGGCTAAAAAAAAGCAGCATTTACAGAGTTGGCAGCACTCTCATAACGTAAGATGTCATTTAACGTGTGAATTATACGTATACGAATTTGAAAAACAAATCTGGCGGAAATTCCACCGAAAAATAAGGGACTCAAAATGGCAATTAGCAACGTACTCAAAACGTAAAAGTCATTTAGCTCACCTAGCTCGAATTAATGGGTGCATGGTTCAAAACATTGCTAGGATTTTTGCCATTACTAACACGCCATCTATAATAGTGCTGTACAATGTACTATTTAAGACTTGATATTTAGCAGGGACTGAACTCTGTCATTTTAGATTTTAGTACTCTTTCAAATTTAAATGTCCGTTACAATGACTACTTTATAAAACCTGAAGCAAAGTAGTCGTAAAGATCTGACTATTTGCAAAGTTCAATACATTTTATTGGTAATAACTTGTAATTAAAAATGCATCTTATGATACTTAACTTCTTCCATTATGATCGCCAAAAAAGCTGAATCTGCAATCTCTCATATTTGACAGGAAAATATACACATTTGTAAACATCATACGGCACAAAGCACACTGGGCCAGCCGATCAGATTTTTGGCCAAAAATACGTTTTTCTTTTTTAAGAAAATGACCAAATTGAGTTTGGAATCCTTTTTATAATACATTAAACTAATTTATGCCAAAGTTTCAAAGAATTCGGGCAAGTAGTTTTCTTTTACCATATTTTCAAAGTGAAAAATTCATAAAATATTGATGGAAATGAAAAAAAATTTAGAAGTCAAAGATGCTGATGTTGCTGTTCGACTTCTTTCCGAAACTTGCAGAAGGGATTATTTTCAACAAGTAAAAAATATAATATAGCTCGTATGTCTTACTTGTTTGCTAAAATAAATGTAATTGTTAATTTTTACGCTTTTTTTCAGCAAATGAGTACTTTGCTTTTCGAGTGCCTTCGAGTGCCATCCCCAAATTAGTTCATTCCTTCAAAAAAAAATTCGTTGATCAATTTACTAAAAGCGTAGCCCACCGACTCGATGCGGTTTTGCCTTAGTTTTCGGTAATTTAAGTTTTAATTGAAGGCTTAACTCGAAGTCGAGCTATTTTGAAGAGCTTAGCTAAGAGAGCCCAAGAGTATGCCATACTTTATTTCTTCAGGTTTTGGTGAACATTTTGCGCCTAAAAATTTGATTTTAGTGTGACTAACATCTAAAATCTACTTTTTACGTACACTAATCGATTATGGTATTTTCCAAACCTATATCTATCTATTTAATCATGACTATGCAAATAAAAATTTAGCATACTTTTGTGATGACTTCAGAATATGTCAAATTAACATTAAACAAATCAAAAAACAATATTTTTAAACAATTTTTTTTACATAATTTGATTATATAAAACTTAAAAGGTAACAAGAACAAAAAAATAGAAATTTTTTTAAAATCGATTGTTTGATAAACGTTGATGTGGGAGCCTCCGAAAGTTGCACTTTTTAACGGTTCATAAATCTTAAATGACATAATATTTTTTAGTGATGTTAATTTTTTTTAGTTTGTTTTATCTCATACTTTATTGTTTTCGAAAATGGAAGAAGTGCGTCTTCTAGTTATTTTTTTAAAAATAAAAAACCGAAAAGTACGTCAAATTTTGCGACTTTGGTCTGGATTATCTATATCATATAAAATTCCAAGAAATTTTACTTTTAGTTCGTTGGAAAGTTCAATCTTTTAAGAAAAAAACGCAAAAAACTGCATCCTTCTAACTGTCCTAGGAAAGAAATTACAGATTTTTGGCCAAAAAATTAACTTTCTGGCCCAGTGTGCAAAGTAATTCAGGGGATTTCCCTGAATTCAAGTTTTCATGAATTTGATAATGTACATTTTTAAGATTTCAATATCCATCGAGGAACATATTTTTTGGGAATTTCGGGTGCTGAAGTATTACCGAAACAACATACCTGCTTCATCTTAAAAAAACACTTTTCATTAAAACTTGCAATTTTTATATCACGGGGCTCGTAAAAGTAAATGATATTGAACTACACCGGGACAAATCAATAGAGTGACGCAAGACAGACAACAAGTCTCCCCTTTCATCCCTTTAAGTCTCAGCTCTTGGAGTGGATCTTTCGCAAGCCAGGCTTTTTCGAGGGCTTGAGAACGTAGAACGAGCACATCAGCGTCTCATCCACCGACATCATGGCGCCTGCATTGTCGAATTCGCCGCAGTAGTTCGGCGCGGAGAATATGGTGATTAGTTGGCGCTTAGCAAAGAACTCGTAGCCATCTTCCACAACCTGATGGGCGCGACAGATGAGGTCGAATTTATGCCGGTGCACAAACTTGCCCACTATATCCGCCCCAAAGGTCACGCTGACTCCTCGATCATTATCGCTCCAGCCCATTATCTTGGGATCCGGATCGGACCAAAGTAAATCGCACAGTAAACCTTTATCCGGGACGTCACATGGCCGCGCCAACTGGCCAATCTGATTCATATTTAGCAGATCAGGACTGAGACCTCCGTGACAGCAGAAGATTTTCTCATCAACGATCGCAGATACCGGCATGCAACTGTAGCAGTCCACGAAAGTACGCCAAAGCTTTATCGTGTATCGCCGCTTGCACTCATCGTAGAATCCATATATCCTGTTAATTCCTGCCGACTCGTGATTTCCGCGAAGCAGAAAAAAGTTCTCCGGGTATTTTATTTTATAGGCCAGCAGCAGGCACAAGGTTTCAATCGATTGCTTTCCGCGATCCACATAGTCTCCGAGAAATAGGTAATTCGAGGCCGGCGGGTATCCCCCATAATCGAACAAACGCAAAAGGTCCGTAAACTGACCATGAATATCCCCGCAGATCTTCACAGGAGCAGAGAGTTCGAGCAGCATGGGCTGCGTCATAAAGACTTCGCGTGACCTGGTGCACAACAGCCGGATGTCCGTTTCGGTCAAGTTTAGCTGCTTGAGACGACGAGTGTCGATAATGCGCAGGATGAGCTGGTCTATGTTGTTCAGGTCAGTCATGGTCGTCATTTGCTGTGACATTTCCAACCCCCTAGCGGCTATAGAGCGACACAAACGGAAATTTAGTCTTTTGATCGGCTGTAACAAATAAAAATACACAAGCCTAAAATACAAAAGTGACAATTAACCAAAATAAGCGATGTCGCTGCGCTGCCAATGGAAGAAAAGGTAATGCTCCAGAAGAGGGGACCTAACCCCGACAAATTATCTCCAATGAACCGCGAATTCTTAAGAATTTGCGTGCAAAAAGTACTTGTCGGTCGGCTATGGGTCTCTTGTAATTAAATTTTTAAGCTTCCGGCTTAGCTATAATATCATAAACACTTTTTCTTCTTCTGCCAAAGTTATACAAAATCTGAGATTACAGAAATCGAAGTAATGAAGGAACCAGTCACTAAAACGCCATAAAATGCTTAAGAACTTTTTATTATGATAATCAGAAGACATTGACAGAGCAATTAAAATTGACAGATTTTTATTGACAGATTTTAATATTGATAATATCAAGCTTATATTTCCGAAGGCTCTTTCTTTAAAATAAATGTTCAAATATCATAACAGTAAAAGACCGTTACACTTAAACATTTTATCGATCTTATCATTTTTGATTGAATCATCAGTATTTCCAAAGATTTTATCTCCAAGTTTTTGTATAATTTTTATAAAATTCATTAATTAATTCACTTTAATTTAAAATTAATTGAATTAACAATCTCTCAATGTTTAATGGACATTTTATATTTTAACATTTCTGTTAAAAACGTTGCACTTTAACATCTTAGGGATGGGCAATCCGAAAATGGCGAATCTAAAATATCGCTGGTATTTTGCCGATATATTAGAGCGCCACACCAAAAGCACCCAAAACCCAACATCCACGAAATACCCCACTAATTCGAAAAAAAAACTTTGAACGCAACGCACGGACGCTGCGCTGCCGACGGAAATCGCGAAGGGCGGATGAGTGCTGCGCGAGTTTAATGGAATAGTTTGCAATTCAGTGTTCGCCCGTTTCCGCCTCCGCTGCCTCCCGAAAGGCCCAAAGGACATTCGACGCAGTTTCCGCGAGGGAAATGCAGCTCCAGTGATGAGACCGCAGAGTCACGCGTGTGGAGAGCACGAAAAGTGAGAAGAAAGAGAAGGCGAGAAGCGTAGCGACAAAAACAACAAAGGCAACGAGAGGCATTTAAACGAAATCCGCAAAAAGTGTTAAAATCAGTAATGTGCATTTAGCAGTTTGCCAAAAACAAATTGCACTGCTTTCGCTTCTTTGTTTTGTTTGGTTTGCCTCGCACGCGCTAGTGTGTGAGCCAGTGTGAGTGTGTTTGTTTGTGTGCGAGCGAGAGCAAGGACAACAAGAAAGAGGAGAAGCAGAGGGAGAGGAGAGGGATCAGGAGGAGAGGAAGCAACAACTGTGGAGCTGCAGCTGGAAAAAAACACTCTCCTGCGATGGACACGTTTCGCAAATGGCTGAACAAACCCAAGGTACAGTTGTTGTTCTCTGTTTTTTTACTTTCGCATAAATTATAAACGATAACCCGATTAGTAGTGCCCCTTATCAGTGAAAAAAAAATAAAAAACATAAGAGTGGGGCGAGCGTAATTAATTAAAGGCGAGAGAGAGGAGAGGGAGAGCAACAAATGGTGTCAAAGCAACGGTGCACGTGTGTGTGTGTGTGTTAACTGTGCCGTTGTGACGTCAGCGTTTGGCCCTGGCTCATTATAAAGCCACATAGCCCCCTCTCTCTCGCACTCTCGCAGCCAGCTGGGTTTTAACCGCATTTCATTTCCGATGATTAATTCGAATTCGCTGACGTTGCAACAACTGCATCTCAACATACTGTGTGTGTGTGTGTGAACTGCACTCTCAATTCAAATTGCAAGCACTCACAACTACACGTACTCGAAAAGTAACAACAAAAACAAATATGGCGCCAGTCCGTTCGTGTTGCAAATTACAAGCAAAAGCAGCTAAAAAGCTAAAGCCAACTAATTTATGTATCTGCGCCTGGTAATTTGGGATCTGTTCTGTTCCGCTCTTGGGGGGAATTCCCCCGTAGAAGTGGAAAATCACTCGAGAACACTGAGAGAACAATGTCAAAGCTCCAGCGATTGGAGGAGCGCCTATTTATAGAACACCACAGTAGAGCAATTCCAATTTACAGTCAAAGTTCTTGAAGATGGATTTGAAAATTCTATTTTTCACACTTGAAAACTTTGTAGATATTTTAGAATGCTTAGTACTAAACATTACCCTAAGAAAAGTGAAAAATTTTTTATTATTTTAAACAAATATTAAATTATTATATTATGAAAGCAAGTTCTTAGATAGATAGATATTTTAGGATGATTACTCCAAGAAAAGTAAGAAATTTGTATAATTTTAAACAATTATTATTATTATTACAAGTTCTTAGGGGTAATAAATATCCCTGCTACCGAAGCTCGCCTGTTTCTATTTCGGGAGCCCCCTTACTTTCGGATGTCTGGAATATACACACGGTAAATGTGAACCGCTAGACCCTAGCCTCCAAAAATAAAACGCCGATGGAGCGACTTTCGTGTCCCCTCTACCAATTTTCCTCCCGATCGGTCGTCAATCAGTCAATCCGTTTGACATTTTGATTGCCGTCGCCAGATTTCTATTTATACCATCGGGGTGTTTGGTTCAAGAGTAGGAAAAATGGAATTAGAAGCAATTTACACGCAAATCCATTAAATCAAAGGCAAACACCCTATATGGCTGTATGGATATATATTGTGTGTTTGTGCGACCTCGGTTACCTGGTGTGTTGGAGGTCAGTGTCGAGACTTTTGTGGGGTATTACGGGGAAATCGAATCAAATGGCAAACAGATGTCTGGTCTGTGGGCAGAAGGGCCTCGGATGTTTATGTTTTCGAGTGCTCAATAGCTCGATAGCTCAATAGCCGGGAAGAGCCCGCCGTATTGTATTGTCTGTATCTGTATCTGGCACTTCGATTAGATAAGATTGCGCCGAGTGGAGTGAGTGGGGATTTGCCTGCGCATCACGTTCAATAGCAGGTGATCGAAGGGGATTGGTATGTATCGATTAACGGGTGGAAAGTATCGTTTAAATCGCAGTTTGAAGTACCTTTTGGATTTACGACTATGGGCAGTATAATTACGCTTACAATTTATATTTAGTGTCTTTGTTTTCAAATGGCAAAGTGTAACTGCTGGAAAATCAAGTTTATTTACTACTTTGTTGCAGATTTCCATTCACTTGCGATTCAACATTAAAAATTAAAGAAAATATATGGTTATATTCGCATTTTCACTCGCTTCACTTGCAGATATAAATATATCCTATAATGAGGTTTTTGTATTTCCTCAGTCAAATAACTCTTTGGCCATAAATAATTGAAAACATCGTTAAGACTTCACTGCTTGATTTATTACGCTCTAAATGCATTCGGAAATTCCAATTGGCTCTGCAAAAGCGATCAAAGCAAAATGGAAATACGGTTTTCTTCGGCTTACTTTCCGGATGCCTAGTAGTTGGTTGCTCTCTACTTTGCTTTGTTAATTAACACACTTCTCTATGAGCCACCCACCCCTCGTACGCCCCCCACCAACGGTGCATGCAACTCATAAATAACGGTGAGTTTTCCTTATTTTCTTGGTGGTGGAAAATGCCTCCCAAACGAAACGGAAAATCCACACAGACGCTCTAAAGTTGCTGCTTTTCTTTCGTACTTTTCATTTGGCGTGGTGTGTGTGCAACAACTCTTTCGTCTGGCATCGGCATCACTGCTCTTCTTTTTCATTCATTGACTGCACACAATTTTTCCGCAGTTGCTTCCTGGTCTTCTCTTTTTCTTTTCTTTATTTTCCCGTCTCGTCTTTGTGATTGTGTCAACTTTCTTTCTCCTGCAAAGTGAGATTCTTTTGCCGAGGTCGCTTTTGTTGCGATTCGAAAATAAACAGAAGCAGAAACAGCCGGGGCGATAGCGTTGCCAGATGTGTCTGTGTCACAAGGCATTGCCATATCGAATTGCATAATCCGAGATTGCTTTGCATTGTGGTGTGTCAACCCTGTCCGGTGCATTCTATTGCAGAAAAAACGAGCAAACGAGCAGAGCATAGAATGAGTAATTGAAGGTGATTTTATCACGGAAAACTTTGCTGTAATACTTAAATTTACATAAGAAAAATAAATATTTTTATATTTATCTTTTCGTTGATTTAAATACTTTAGTTACTTCATTATATATTTTAAAGACAAAATTAATTTCTTATGTTGCAAGGCATTGCCATATCGGTTTACACAATTCGAGACTGCTTTGTTTTGCGGTGTGTCAACCCTGTATTCTGCATTCTATTGCATGAGTAATTGATTCGCACCCTAAAAGCGCGTCAAGTCAAGTATCCACCTACCTTTAGTAAGGGTATTGCAGTGAATGCAATTGTTTTTGCTCCGTCTGTGCATATAAATTTTCATAAAAACGAAACCGACGCCGCGGTGAAGGCAGACAAAAGGCGCGGAGAAGCCGAGACAATGGAGGCTGGGAAAGAGGCGACTGCCCCGAAACCCAGATCCCAAAAAACGCGATCGGATCCGCAGTCAATGGAACTGCCAACTGGCTGACTGGGGGCCACTCTGGAAACTCTGAAAGAAGGCGGCACGCGCCACAGGCGTCTGTAATTGATTATCTCCGATATAGCGGACTCTCGATCTTGTGGGCCCAAAACCAATAGCATTACATCACTCTCCCATATTTAATTTGCTTGCATATATACAATATATATATTCCCATCTAAACTCGTACACCCCACATATAGGAAGTATTGTACAGACGATAAAGCAAACACTTTTATAATGTTTTTTTCGCTTGCCTTTAGATACTTGATTATAAATGTTTGGCGATGAATGAATAATATATACGTAACCATGTACAATAATATAAAGCAAAAATAGTGGGTGCGGGCTGAAATTGTGTCTGCCTCTGCCTCAGTTGATCAGCATTATTGAGCACATGGCTTGGATTCAGATTTGTACTGGTTGTTGGGTCTTCCCAGCACTGAAACAAAGGCATTTATAAGGTTCTTTTTCCTCTAGCAGAATCTGAGTAATTCTTGAGCTCTTGGTATTTTTATTCGTTGATTTCTTGTTTGCCAAACGATATCTCTCGCATGTGTCTTTGCTTTGTGTGCTTGCCATAAACTCATTTGAAGTTGGCATTGAATTGTTTTATGTTTTACGGGCCGAATCGCCAAGAAACAAAAGTAAACCATAAAAAAGTGAAATCTATGGGTGGCTGGCAATGTCTGTTTTTTTGCTTTAATCGTTGATGGTTTGCCTTTTTGTTTTGTTTCTACAATTATTTTCGGTTGTTTCCCAAAAAATACTTCTCTCTCTATATCTTTGGAAGTCTCGAACTCCCCCGGTTTTTGGAGCATGTTGCAAAGGTGTGCAATTAAAGTCTGTTGCGTCGTCAGCACGAAATCGGCCATTAACACAATAAACTCTGACAGTCTGACTTGTGGCTTACAAAAATTAAAAAAAAAATTATCCACAAAACAATTAAGCATGAGCTGGCAAAATGGAAATTACAACAATAAAAGCCGTTTAACAATTGAGCCTAAGAAAGTCATGACTGGACGAGAGTAACTAGCTGAATGAACCGAGGAAAACGACGGGGAATCATGTATATATATCTCCTCAACCAGCTTTATAAAATTCACTTATTTACGCTTTCTTAACTCAAACTTGTAAAAAATAAATGAAAAGAAACAAGAGCGAAGAGTAAAAACTTTTCTGACAAAAGTGAAGGAAGCCCTGTTGTTAATGGCAACCGATTATAATGCCCATTTCTGTTTCAATGATGCGGATACAGTGCGTTTCGCAATCCTAACCACATTATGAAACGACCTTACAAGTAAATAATTACGATAAATAGAAAGATAAACACCAAAGAAACCTGTTCAGGGAGACCTATTATTACCCAAAATGTTGGGTTACTTGGTTTGTTAGCTTTTAACGCTTCTTTGGAGTATTTCGTAGTTCTAACGTGGTTTATTTTTATGAATTAAACAAGTTACATGTTACAATCATTAATCATTCAAATAAATATCAGATAAGGTGGAATAAATTAACTCAAAGAGCAGCCTTACCCCAGTTTATTCTTTCAATTTGCCCCATTTAGTGCAATCTTTACCGTATTTGTTAACACCGTGAACCGCTTTACTGTTCTGAAACCCACTGCACAATATATTACAACTCTTGTACAAATAAAGTAACTGCCTTAAGCTCATTTTCACCATCTGCGCCATGAATGGACTCGATGCGTATACGACCCGTTGGACAAGACTACTACCACTACGATGACGGGCATTAAATGCAATGCTACAATGTATCTGTAACTCGGTACTTGTGTTTGTATCTGTATCTGTGTTTTTGTTTATTTGTGGCTGTGCCTGTTGCTCGTGCCAACAACAATAACAACAACAACAATCAGTACAAC